CAGGTACATACCACCACAATTGGATTAGAGTAGAGAATGCCCAGCTGATGCGCAATGTGAAATTGCTTGCTGGTAGGGAAAAATCCTCATTTGACTTGGTCCCAGGAGTGAGCTATGTTATGAGTGTCTAGTATCCTCAGAATATCATACCGTGGAAGTCAAATTCCTTGTGGTTCAGTGGAGGAGACAGACAGGTGAATATACAAAGTAAGAATCATGAAAAAAGTACTGCCATTCAAGGTGCAATTGGAAAGGCATGATGATATTTTTTTGCACATAGGAGGCCCTCGATAATTTTAGTGAARGAATGAGTGGACAAATGAATCTAATTTGCACTGAATGTGAAGGAGTTTATCTGATTTGTAGAGCAAATATTTTAGAGGTGGGCTGGGGATGTGGCTCAAGCAGTAGCGCGCTGGCCTGGCATGCGTGCGGCCCGGGTTCAATCCTCAGCACCACATACCAACAAAGATGTTGTGTCCGCCGAGAACTAAAAAATAAATATTAAAAAAATTCTCTCTCTCTTTCTCTCTCTCTCCTCTCTCACTCTCTCTTTAAAAAAAATATTTTAGAGGTGTTAATTCATGTTTGTTCTTGCATTTTTCCTTTTGCCATTTCAAGGAGGAGCCCAGAGTTTGCAGTGTTTTGTTCCTGAAAATCATCAGGCAGAAACAGCCTGAAAGAGTTTGTAGTTGGAGGGGCCTGTAGAGATGTCCTGTGTGTCTGTGGGGAAGACATCAGAAACTGAAAGGCAGCACCCAGACCTCAGAAGGGGGTGTCAGGGAACACATAGGGGGAACCTGGTCCCAGGGGAACACTGAGGTCCTATAGCTTGTGCATACCACTAAAGCAGGTAGCCAAGGGCATCAGAAATGCTATGAACCTGAACAATGCAGTGTTTTTAGAAGCAACCAGGAYATGGCCCTTCTGAATGCAGATCCAGTCTCAGGGTGGACAGAACCCTGCTCATGACTGAGATGAAATTCCCCTGGCTTAGTGGGAGGGGGGCTCAGAGAGGAAAGCAGTGTTTTTAAAGAACTTTTAAAAATTATTTTCCTTACACACTCTGTAAAACCCCTGTATTGTCCCTTCCCTGGACAAACACACCCTCTTGAGGCTTGCTTGCCTTTTAATGACAGTCGGCTGAGGTTTCTAATGCCACAACTTTCTTCCTAAGGTGGGTTACATACATGGTGGGACCCAAGGGCCTGTGGAACCCACTGGGAGTAAACATAACAGGAGACAAGATGGAGAAGAGGGAAAGAGAACTTGCTTCCTGTCTGCTGTCTTTGGTCCTGCTGGAGAGTTGTGGATGTTACTCTGAAGGAGATAACTGAAGTCACCTGAAGGTCATCATCCCTCAAGCCTGTGCAGCTATCCAGAACATTTCTGGTAGAGGTCCGTCCAACCTCCACTTGGGCATTTTCATTTCAACCGTTTCTGTCTGCTCAGCCTTAGCCATCCCAAACCTCAAAACCCAGAATGGCAAGACTAGGTCCTTCAAGCATGGTTTAGATCTCCCAACCCCTAGCCCTCCAGACATTTCAGCTCCTAGAACAACTAGCCCTAGCTGTCACTACTACAAAGCAGAAGCAAAACGGCTTCTCCTTTTCAGTATTTACTAAAGGTGCCACTCACCTGCAGCTCTCAGCTCTTGGCGGGTGGGGGGACTCAGCATACAGGTTTGTTTCAGCTTGGTGAAGTGCATGTCATGAGCAATGAGAAAAATGAGGAGGATCCATGGAAGGAGCATAAACATGTCTTCAACACTTTGACAATGCTCTTAAATTTTCACATTTAAGATACATTTTTTTAAAAAAACATAAAACAAAGGATCAAAAGTTTACTTAGAAGTGACCTCCGGCTGTGAAGTAATAAGGTATATTGTGCTTTTATGTTTCCATTAGATTTTGTACAATAACATTAAAAACTCATTCCTTAAAGGCAGTAATAGAGAACCAATTATTAGGAAATACTCACATATGATCACTCCTTTAGGAAAAACCAAAACAGGAATTTCTAAATCTCTAGGAAAAAAAAATGAAAAGGAGAATATTTCATARTAAAATGTATGGAAAAATAAAGCTAATTTGTGTATTTTATCTATTCTGCATCTGTGGTAATTTTTAAATGTTCTTTAAAAATACCTCAGGAAACATAGAGCCTTACACACACCTGTTTTTAGAATAAAATAAAAGTAAACCACAAGCTCATCTAAGAAAATTAGAAAGACTATACTTCTTATAGATAAGAGAAACTAGCATGCGCAAATAAATATATAAAAACTGAAATTAATAAATCACATAAAAATAATTGTTGAATGCATTGGTAAATCAAAAACTTGTTTCTTTGAAAGAATAAAATAAAGTTTGTGAGGCTAATTAAAAGTGAGAAAGAGGGAACAGCAAAAATACAATCAGGAGTGAAAAAAAGAAAAATAACCACAGATACAGAATAGATTAAATACATAAATTATACATCCTGCTACTCTGTGGTAACATAGTTAAATGCCTACAGAAAATGGTCATTTCCTAGAAAAACTAAGTAAGAAGTGAAAAATCTGCATAAACTGATCACTATAGCAGTTAGAGAGAAATCTACTATTAACAAAGCAAAAATCAGAAGTTTTATGTCCAATTTTATCTAATTTGGAAATCAGATAATAATTTCAGGTTTTATTAAAGGCCACATAAAAATAAAAAGGGGTCCTCAATTCATTGTAAAGCTGTAATGACTTTGATACTGGTAAGTACTGATAAAGAAGTTGAAAACAAACCTATAGTTCATTGCATTTGGTCATATTGTATTATTTCCTATATATACTGGTAGATTCAATTTGATTATATTAAATTAGAATGCTTGCATCTGTATCACCAAATACATATTAGTTATAAGTAAGGGACACTTACTTTCCTGTTGGAAGAGTCTTCATAGAAAAGCCCATCAGAAAAGATTTTGATACACTTTCATGTAGAAATAGAAGCAGAAGGCAGAGGGAGAGTTGGATTCCAGTTGTCACCTCCATGAAAGTTGGGAACCCTCCTGGACCTTGTGTAAAAAGCATAAGAACTTACACCAAAAAACATCATCATCTACACTTTTGCTGTTATTTTTGTTTACTCTGACTTTGCCTCCTCAGAGACATATAAAACCTTCAAAATAAAAACAGCTTGAACACTGGTCCTTCGGGGCAGCAAAACACGACAGAGCTAGAAGACAACAACCTCCATGGCATCCAGGCCCTGGGAGGCCAGCACTCCAAGTGAGTTGTGGGTTGAATGGTTGAAAAGGTAGTGGAAGGAAGGGAGAACTGATATAACAGTCTCTACCTGAAGAGCAACTCTGGATTATGGGGTGAAGGTCTAATAAGTTCATATAATTTGCTTCCCTCAAATTCAGAAATGTCTCCTTTCTCCTCGTCTGATTGGCTCCACTTCTGGTCCATGGACTTCTCTCCTTCACTGATCCCTCCCCTCACTCCCTCGCCTCTGTGTCTTCTCTCTGTTGCATCTGTTTTCTACCTGTATCCTTCCGATTCACTCTCTCTACCCCGTAAAGTCTAACTTCTGTCTCGGCTTCCCATGCAAGTCCAAATTATTAAATTCACTAGGCACATTTAAATCCTTGGCTTACATTTCTTTGCTGCATTTCCTGTAACTTGGGGTTTCTATCAATAACTTGCTTTGGGCCATTGCCACTTCCCACAGCCTACAGCTCTCAAACCTTTCACTTAGGCCTTATCACAATCTGGAATTCTGGCTTAAACAGGCCAGAATCTCTTGTTTCCTCATCTATTAAATCATATTAAACATCATATTTAAATTATATTAAACAATTCCTTTTTCTTCTAGCTCTAAACTACAATTCTAAGCCTTCCTGGTCCTTTTCAGCTGCAGTCAATCTCTCTCCCCTAAAAAGATAAAAATGTTAGTACCCATCATGTACTACACCAATTCATTCACCCAATCATTTGAGCATCTACTCTGTCAAGTGCTTGTGCAGGAAGGAGAGGCCAAGAGTTCAACAAGGCAGATATGGCTGCTGCCCCCCAAAACAATATGACTGGTGTGTACATGGGATCAAGCTCTTACCGGAAATTTTCTTTGAGAGGAAAAGCAAGCTGTATATTCCCATCAGGGCTTTGCACAAAAAGGAAAAGTCTACCAAAGTATCAGAAGGCCACATGCTCCTCAATTTCTGCCCTGCTCTTGGGCAGAAACCACAGGTCAGCAGGGAAAGTGCCTGGGTAGAGCTCCCTTGCACACCATTGACCATAACACAGTGCAGAAGGTTCAGGATTCTAAATAAAAGGGAAAACAAACTATGTAAAGGACAGTCCTTTTTTAAAGCACTGGATTCAGATTTTTAAATAGAAGTGCTTTTTACTTCAGATAGAGGATTCCAGTTTATTTATTTTTCTTCTCTTACTTAAGTAAAGCCAGATGCTCTGCAAGGTATGAATCATGTGGAAGGCTTTTTAAAGGTGGTGAGGACAAATGATAATTTTGGTTCAGATCACTAAAATGCTCAAAGAATGCTCATATTAAGCATCAGGAATGCAAACACAATTAAAAACTATGAAATTTCCTTATGGGAAAACCTTGGCAATGTAGGTAGTCAGGGTCTACAATAGATGGTTGAGTCTCATMAGAAGTTGCCTTTGCACAACTAGTTTTCAGAGAACACAAAATGATTCCTGGAACTGCAGTGTTGAGTACTGTATAATAAGTAGAGTCTCTGAGCTAGAACCTATGAAGGCACATAACCTCTGTTTCATTCATGCTCCCTGACATTGATTCTGGAAGCTTTTCATATGTGTGTGTGTGTGTGTGTGTGTGTGTGTGTGTGTGTGTCCATGGCCTATGAGGATATTTGATTTGGGGTTAGTAGTTTTGCCATTTCATTTTCTAATCTACCAGCTGTGATGGATTCTAAGGACCTGCTGAGATGAGTTCCATCGGCAATGGTTGGAAGGAATATATAAGAAGACACAACTGGTTGCTGCAATACACAAAAGTTTATTTTTTACTGTTTTCTTCTTTTCTGGAGGCAAAATAAAATAGAACTGAACATCAATGGATTTTGTACAACAAAAACAGCTTTTAATATGGAACAGACAGTCCATGAACATTTTAAAATCTCGGAATGGCTTCCCTTTTCAAAGTCATGCTTTCTTGCGGTCCACGAGGAGTTGGCACAGAAGAGCCGGTGGCAGCTAGCTGGGTGAAGAGGCTGAAGGATGGTGGTTCCCCTCAGATCCGCGTCAGCTGGTGCCACAGACTGGATGGGAGGATGCTTTCCACTTTCTCCATGACAAAGTTTAGGGGGGCAAACAAAGTGCTGAGGAACTGAAAAGAACACAAAGACCCAGGAGTCAGGGAGGCTTGTTCAAGATGACAGAAGGAACCTCTCCAACCCACGCCTGCATCTCAGGATGTTTCATCATTGTGGGGGGGCTCACAGGCTGCAGTCATCTTCATGTTTACAGGAAACATCACAAGCCAGTCAAAACTGCATTCCGGCCCCGCCCCAGCACTGGTAGATAAGCGGAGAAGTGTCTGCTGATGGCCTCCCTCACAGGGAGCTGCCATGGCTCTGAGGTCCGGGATCTGCTAGCTGCCCATGTACATGATGGGTGTTATCAAACAGGAATGTCAGATGGGTAGCAAGTGGGCAGAGGAGTTAGAAAACAGTGACAATTTAGACCACCTGCTTGTCTAGCTGGGTGTAGAACTCATTTCAAATGAAAAAGACAATTAAAAAAAAAAAAAAGCAAACCTGTATGTCTATTGTTTTGACATGCTGTTGAATCCCAAATGTCTGCAAGGCCTAGGTTTGTTTCTGAATGACCCACTTGGTGACATGTATCATGGGAGCCTGGGGAAGGCAGCAAGCTGCTATTCTATGAAGCACTTGTCCTTGTTCAAGGGGGCTGTTCTGAGTAATGCATCTTTGCAGACTCTTTCATTTGGTTACAAAATTCCTTTCTGCTTTTCATGTAGTGAATAATACTCATTAGATGTGCTTTTAAGAAAGCCAAGCCGCTTTGCCTGAGACTCACTTGTCATAAGTCCATTCTGGTTATATTCTTGTAAAGAATATGGGTTAGATGGATTGGGGTGTGGCTCAGTGGTAGTTTTTGCTTAGCATGCATAAGGCCCTGGGTTTATTCCCAGTGCCAATTAAAAAAAAAAGGAATCAGCTTCATTCCACAAACCATCTAGCATCTGGCAGAAGTGCCCTGTTCTATTCAGGGAGGAGAGGGATATTTGGATGGTTCTCTTGCCCTCTGTTCAGAGCCAAGGCACTTACTTTCTAGGGTTTAACACYTTGTTCTTTTACTATGAAGTCCTTTGTCCTAATTCCTTATCCTTAGCACAAAAATTTCCCATGCATGTGTAATGCAGGGGGTAAGTACATAAGCAGAGGGGAACGTGGTTTTGAGGGCACACAAGTTTAGCAGACAATGAAGTCAGTGAAATTAAAATGGGCTCCTCTCCTGAGCACATGATCTATGGGTTGAAGGTCTTCCAAAAGAGGTATAGTGGATGAGTGTCCCAACTTCACTGGCCTCAGAAAAGACCTTCTTTTTTAAAAAAAAAAAAAAAAAAGGAAGGAAGAAAGGAAGGAAGGAAGGAAGGAAGAAAGGAAGGAAGGAAGGAAGGACGGACGGACGGACGGACCTTCTAGTTCTTGTGTTGTTGTTGTTTTAAAGGACCTGTAACACATTATAGCTGGATCATCAAGTGTGAGATTTATAAAAGAAAACTCAAGATAGTCTCTCCAATTCATCTTTTACATCAACTAAAATACATTTACTCAGGTCAGTACTGAAGTTCTGAGTGAGATATAGAGGAGTCTAGGACAAAACCACCACTGTCAGGAGGCTCAAAGCTCAGTGGTAGAGGAGGGAAGGCCATTAGGATCTGAACAGAGCAAAGGAATAACCAAAGAGACCATGACAGCAATCACGACAGAAGGCCAGAGAAAGCACCAGGAGGGTTCAGAAGAGGGAGAGAAGCTTTCTGTGGAAAGGGTCAGGAAAAACTCTGTAAAGTGCGACAACTGAAATAGATTCTAATGGATGCTGGGAATGCCAAAAGATAGAGATGAGGTATGGATGTTGAGGACAGATATATGAGCACTGTAGGCCCTCTAAGTTCAATCAACATCCAGAACAGAATTGAGAAAGCAACCAGTATGGCCAGAAGATAGTAACTGATTCTTTTTAGTTGGAATAGTTAATGGTGGAGTTCAAAAGTGACTAGAAGAATGCTGGGAAGTAATGGTATCAATGCCAGGCTAGATTTGTAGTCAGTGCTTGAGCAAAGTAGGATGACTCTTTCTTCCAGAGGGAGTTACATCTATAGTGATTTCTGATAACTTTAAATTATCCTTGGTTGAGTGCACAGGCACTTGGGATGTTCACCCTGCAGGATAGACAATATCCCCTTCTCACTTAAGCTGGACTGGCCACCATGAATGCAGTTGGAAGGCATCATGGGGAACACTGGGCCCAGGAATGAGTAACCAGTGCTCAAGCTTCCTCTGAAAGTGTTTGTAAAATCYTGGTTATGAGAGGATAATGTGGAGCAAGACTACAGATCACATTAAACAAATACAACATTATAAGATTTTACATATACATAATTATATATGTGTATGTGACAYATACACATATATAGAGAGAGACCACCAAGGCTCCACAGACCACAACATTTGCTTATAATGACTCCATAAAAAGGAGCTAAGTTCTAAAGTGGTGTGGAAAAACCACTGACCACTGACAGGTGTTAGAAGATGGAGCTCAATAAACAAGGTGATATTGCTGCTGGTTATCATACCCTAAAGACTTGACCCAAACCAGATTTAGAACTGCTGAAGCTGTGATAGAGTGGGGAAGGAACTGCTGAATATAAGCATGAGCAGTGCAGTTAGATAAAAGGAAATGTCTATATGCTGGACAATTCTGCACACTAAAACGTGGGGGGTGTCAGGGAGCCTCACTTTGAGATAGAGAATGAAGGGAGATGATGTTACTAAATTGATTCAAAATAAAGACCCTTTTTTTGTTTGTTTGCATCATTCTGGGCCCTGGACCTTATCTGAATTAAAACACACACACACAAAAGTAAAACCTCTGAAAACCAAGAGGATGGCTTTACCCTGCTAGATGCCTACAGCTGCCTCCTCATCCCACATGCACAGCAAGATGCAAGGGTCCCTTCTTTCCTGGACCAATACCTGCCTTTTCAACAAGGTTCTAGGAAAGAATGAAGCCCCACTGCCTCCAATGTATGTAATAATTTCTCTCTTGTGTGTCTAAAATGTTCTATCCTTGCGATAACTCCGAAAGGTTCCTTTGAGCTTTTTTCTAGAAAGCCTAGTTTACTCTCTTGTACAATCTAGTTGAGAGGCACCCCCTGATTACTAAGCCATTTTCCTTCTTAGTGTACCTCTCCAGATCTCTCCCCACCCCATTTCCCACAAGGAAGAAGATAATGTGGAGAGGCAGAGGAAGCCACTAAGCCCTTTTTTTTTTTTTTTTTTTTTGTGACAGATCAAAGTCATTGGCTTCCATCAAGAGGTAGTAAAAAAAAAAAAAAAAAAAAAAAAAAAAAAGTTTGGAGGAGCAAGTCCTGCTCCTCAGGATGCCTTGGGATGTTTGAAAATTAATACTATTTGGCAAAAACAAAACAAAACAAAACAACAACAACAAAAACAACCACCAATGCATAAAGAGAAACAGCAGTTTTACTTATAGACTTAAGGGAAATTTATTGCCTGAAAAGTTAAGTCTGAGTGAGGAAAACCAGGCAACCTGCAGCAGCCATCTATCTCAATGTCCAAAACTTCTGTCTAGAGGGCAGAGATACATGGTCAAAATTTTAACCAAAACGCTCCATAATTCAATCAGTGTCCTGTGGTGAGAAAAAGCAACTGAACTAATAAAAAAGAGAGAGTGACACTTCAATGGCCTGATCCTCCTTTCCGAAGCACCATTACTTAGAAGAAGGTCATGGCTCCCAACATGCTTCCTTAGCATTAGAAACGCCTCTGCTTATCTGAATAAGTTCCAGGTGCCCTATTGCAAGCAGAGAATTGACATCTCACTGTAATCAATATCAGACTTCAAAGAGGTCAGGGCCTATAAGTGAAGATGAGCCAGAAGTCAGAGGGCTCAGGCTCTGGGAAGGAGAGAGACCAGAGGAGGAAAGGCAGGACCCTTGAGAGCAAAGGGGTCAGACTGCTGACCTTCCCACGTTCTGTGAGGAGCTGGGCTTGCAATGATAACTTATTTATATGAGCAACCTTATCTTGGTAACCAAACATTCTAGAAACAGTTAGCCCTAAGTCATTGAGGTAGATTAGATTAGGGGAAAAGCCAGTTGAAGCCTCCTCTATTTCCCAGTGGCTTACACTTGGCTATGAGCTTCCTTACTGGCTGCGAGTCGGGTGTAAACACACTGGAGAGTTCTTTCTGTGTCTACTAAAAGTCATTATACCGGGACATTATCTCAGGAGAGGGCTGAGAAAATCACTTTCACAAGCTGCAAATGAGAGCACGCAGCCTGTGGGGCAGGGCAGCTGTGATAACCTGTGGGTGTGGGGCAGCGGCTTCGGGAGGGGCCTGATGGAGTGACCAGGGTGAGATGTGGAGAAAACCTGAAAGGGGGGTGTTTAGGAATGGAGTGGGTTTGTCTCATTCAGGCCATCCATCTTACTTTACCACCAAGTCTCTCCAGACGTTTTGGAAATTGCTRGACCTGCATGAAGGGGAAGATGAATGTGATGATCCTCCAGGCAGAGGTTTAAAAGTAAACTTACCAAAATTATATTAGAAAATTCTGGGTAGCTTACCAAATTACTACACTTTGGGGGAATATAAAACARGAGAACCCTAAAGGTAGATTTATGCTTTGTTCAATTACTAGATTCTAGAGTCAAAACCAAAGTTTTGGAAGCTTAAATGAGGAAAGTAGCCTCTTGTCTAACATCTATCAGGAACTCAGTTCTCCAATATTCTGGAATGCTGTAGTACTTGTAGTAATTATAGTACCGTAGGACTGGACTGTTGTACAGCCACTCTAGAGAATATCCCGTCATATTTTGTTAATTCTCTCCTTGCTTCACAATCCCCTCGATGGTTAAAATCATCTCAAGTTATTATATTACTCTTCATTCAATTCTGTGATTCTCAGCTCTACTTGCACACCTGAATCACTTAGGGAGCATGTGACAACTCAGATGCCCATGCTGCTCTCAGGTCAGTTAAGCAGGAGTTCCTGGGCAGTAGGTGGGGCAGGCATCAGCAATATTTAAGCTCTCTTAATGATTCCAAGACTCAGCTAGGCTGAACCCACTGATTCCTGGAAGGCCTTTGTCTGAACAGCTCTGAGAGCCTACAATGCAGCTTCAAATAACTGCTCACAGGTTTGGCCTTCATGAGACTAGAGTACTTAGAAGGGAACATGGTCCTCAGTCCCCATCCTCAATGTCTGGCACGGTATTTCTTCACAATATAGACTCCTAGGTGTGAACATCAAGATTCTGAATGTTGGTGGTATGGATGGGTGAACCCTATGCATGTTAGAGGCTGAGAACCTTGGTACTGATCCCAAACTACTACCAAATGCTATTCATTATTTCAATGACCAATACCAGAATGACTAAGATACTTTTACAAATATGTTTTTAAAATGTTTAAGAGAGAAATAGAAAAGGAGGAACATTTATTGCTTAATGCTGTAAATGTATTCTCCCTTTACCTTTTACTAAGTTATACTCTAATTTTCTCAGTGTTTTGGCAACTACTTTTCCTCGAGGTTGGATGGGGAGTACGTGAAAATAATGCACAGCATAGGCCCATAAACAGAGAAACATCCAAGATGGCAGCCTGAGTGATACTGGGTTTAGAAATCACATCAGTTAGAGAAGACTTAAGGAAATTCAAAATAGTCTGCCTGGAGGAAATAGAAGGTAGTCAGTCAGAGGTTAAAGATGAATGAACAAACAAGCTATCCTAAGAATTTGCAAAAGGAAATAGACCTGCTTGACGTACTCTTTAAGGGCAGAATAGAAATAAAAGGTGGAAATTAAATGAAGGCAGACTTTAGTAGTATAATAAGGACCTCTGAATGATMCAACAATGAAATAGGCTTATGTTCAGAAGCTGAGCTCCCCATGGCTAACAGTTCAAGATGAGTCTAGATGACTTCCTTTGGAGTTACTATTGAAAGCACTTCATTAAAAATCCCTTTCAAGTCTATGATTACAAGTATAAAGGAAGGGACAAAATATCAAGCAGCATCTGATTTTTACATTGACTTTTTTTTCTGCAGGGACCACTACTGTTTATTTATTTAATAATCATTTGTTGAAAGCCTGCTATGTGCCATACTGTGCAAAGATTTGGGGACTCAGAGATGAGAAAGGCACAGTCCTGCTCACAAGGAGCTCCCATTCTAAAGGGGCACAGGATTTCCCAACATATAGAACAGTAAATGTGATCATATAAGTCGTAGGATCATGAAGGGAAGACACCTTCACTCAGCTTAGGAGAAATTCAAAGAAAGCTKAGGATAAGAGAATGAAGAGGCATTTTTTTAAGAGAGAATTTTTTTTTTAATATTTATTTTTTAGTTATCGGCGGACACAACATCTTTTGTTTGTATGTGGTGCTGAGGATCAAACTCAGGCGAGCACGCTACCACTTGAGCCACATCCTCAGCCCCATGAAGAGGCATTTGGTAGAGTGGACAGTGGGGTGGTGAGGGTGAATGGTATTTCCCATAACAAACAGCATGTATGAAGGCACTGAGGTGCACAAGGGCCTGGCTGCATCTGTGCATGGTAAATAATTCACTATGGCTGAAGAGCAGGTCTATCCAGTAATTAATCGGTAGGGATGAGATTGAAGAGGCAAGCAAGGTCCAGATGATAAAACGCCCTGCATGTGTTGCTTGAGAACTGGGACTTTATCCTGAAGTAGGTAGGCAACCAATGGAGAAACTCAAGCAGGGAAGTAACATGCTTAGATTTGCAATTTAGCAAGATCATTCTTGGGTCAGTATGAAAGAGGATAAGACTGGAAGCAAGGAGCCTAGTTAAGACAATTAGAGACATCCAGGCAAAAGAACAAGGACCTGAACTAATAGAAATGCTATAAGAGAGAAAGAAGGGAAGGAGAGGAGGTCAGGTACTGGCTGCCTGGTGGCTCAGGATGTTAGAACCCACAACCCACCCAGGTTGAAGGCTGAGCAGGACAGGAAGCAGGAAGTGAGAAAGGAAGGGCGTAGCAGGCTCCTGGAGGAGGTCAGGAATACAGGAGGGGGAGCAGTTTTGATGGTGGGGCAAGGGTGATAAGTTCAGATTTGGAAATGGTGACAGTTCGGTGCCAGTGGGATTTCCAGTTCATCTTCAACACTCATGCAAATACTCCCGCAAATCCAGTCCCTGAACTCTGTTGAGCAGAAAATGTCAATCATCTGGAAAGGGATTAAATCAACCCAGCCCAGTTAGAGATAGTCCTGATTCCACTCGCCTTGAAATCTGAACAGAGTTCCAGGGAAATAACTGACACACTTTTCCTATTCCCTCTGTTTGAAAACCATCTGTGGCACAATCAGGAACCTTACCCTCATGCATGAGCAGGATGCAATCATCAGTTTTCAACAAGGAAAAAGTGGTAGTTGGCTGTCAGTCCAGGGAGCTTTTCTTATTAAAGCTCTACTCCATAGTCCTCCTTCAAGATTCTCACTGGATTTCCCTATTTCTCAATGTCCTGTCAGCATTTTAATACTGTATGCTTCCACACCCTCTCATGGTTCATTCCCAAACAAGTCAAAGGTCTGCAGACATTTAAAAAATACATTTAAATAATCTTTGTAAATGTAAATCTCATCCTTCACAAGGGTAGAGGCACAGTATCCAAGATTAGAACTAATGCCATTTAACGTACACAAAACTAAGTAACGATCCCACCCACTTCTCATTTAATAGGATTTCCTAAATTATTTCATGTTTTTGTGCTTATGTATTATTTGGAAATCTATTTTGTGGAAGAAAGCAAGGCATGAATCAACAGTTACCTGTACTTCCCTCTGACCCTTAACCCTTTGGTTCCACTGGTGATAATGAAATTAAATAGTGAACTCTGCAGTTGGTAAACATTTCTGTGTGACAATCCCCCATTCCTCTTCCACTACCTCCCTTAGATTTCCCTGTCCATTCCCTGAGGCTTCCCTTTAGGCAAACACTCACAGCTTTTGCAAAGACCCCCATGAGTTCCGGGAACTGGTGTGTCAGGAGGGCCAGCATGGCTGTAAAGGAGCACAATCCAGCAGTGAAGAGAATAAAGAAGGGAAGCTCCTTCTTCGGGTAAACTGAGACTTCATGGAAAGCTGTGGAGAAGACCAGAGGGAATGTTAGGGCTGGAGTAAAGAGCATCTTTGGGGAGTTCCTACCTGGTGGACTGACTATTCAGAGCTCTGGCTGAAACCCATGGGAAATGGAACAGATAGGACACTTGACAACCACAGGTCACAACGGACCCAGCCTTTTGCTGCTCCAGCTGGAGGTACGACAGGGTTAATTTGGGGATAAAACACACTCATGGACAAAAAAAAAGCAGTACTAACTATGTCTACTATAAAATATTCCTTTCTCAAAAGTGAACACAAATGAAATGACAAAACTTTATCTTAATTATCAAACATATATACATTGTACAAAGCCTTGGAAAGTTCAAAGTTAGCATACTGAAAAATACCCTGTCTACATTTTTAACTTGTATTTTTTAAGTTATTATAATGAGGCAATGTTAGTTTATCTTGTACTTTTCCTGGCACACTCTAAGTATGTAAGTGGAGAGTGCTGCCCTGATAGACACTTAGCAAGGACCTCACACACTGGCCTGTTCAACCTGCAAGGGGTGAGAGTCAAGGTTGCTAGGGTTATCTGACACAACCGTAGAAGACTCCTGATTAATATACTTAGAACAATCACCGGAAAAAGAAAAAAAAAAGSAAAACTGGTGTTCTCTAGAGTATCTTCATAACTTTTAAACTTCAAACACTATGTTTGAGGAAAACCAACAGTTGTACAAAAGCCAAGAGAACCGACTCCCTCTTTCTACTCATTATGTGACTGCCTGTGACTGTCTGCATGGTGCAGTGCTGACCAGGGGAGGTATGGGCTATCTGCACGGAGGAGGAAGAACCAGCTGCCAGGGACCCTGGTGGAGGGGGCTGGGGAACTGCAGATGAACAACACTGCCCTCTAACCAAAAGGTTCCAAGTGGTCCATTCCCAGGGATATACAGATCTAAAGGCCATTCCTTGACCATTAGGCAGTTGTTACTCAGAGTCCTCAGCTACACTGCTAAAAACTGAGGGTAGAGATGATCAGGGAGGGACAAAGCACAGGCAAGCATGCCTACCTGCATCTAGGTGGGTCAATCTGCTGGGATTCAAATATAGGGTAGAGGTGCACTTAAGGGCCTAATGTGGCAATATTTTACTTATAATGTGAAAAATATGGGTATCATTTAAAATAAACAGCCCTCTTCCTATCCTCATCCTCAAAATTCAGCCCAAAGAAGATTTTGGAGGGAGACCAGACTTGAACTATGGCATTCAATTTAATAAATGTGAGCCATCATTTTCTATTTAAGGCTTATAAAGATTATCCCTATAAAGTTTCTTTTAGGAACTATAATCTTATTCTAATAGCTAATCCAWCCCCATGGAAACTTAATTGGGCTCAATTAAAACAGTAAAAAACATTGTACTTTTAAGAAAACCATCTTTTTTAGCAGAAAATGTAAACTTTAACAAGGATCTCCCTGAAGAGGGGAGTCAAAAGGTAAACTGTGGGCCCACAGCAGGGGATTTCTGAAATCAAATCTAATGTTGTTCGAGGCACCAGACACTTCTTACAATAAAACTTGGACAATGAGAAACACATCACTAACATCTCCAAATTCCCTAGGGAACAAATCTCACATTGGGTCTGGCTGGCAAGGAAACACGTGAGGCCCTCCTGCCACTTCATTCTGGTAGCAACCACCATGTAGGAGATACATAGCTGGCATTTGAAAACTGACTGCACACCAGAGCTCCCCAGCTACACCATTCCTCTGGGCAAGTGTCTATCTGTGTCATAACATTGATATACTGGCATAACCGGGATTGGTACAAGGAAGAAGGTGGCAGCAGAAAGGACAGAGAAGAGAGAAGAGCCAAAATTTGGAGGTTATTATCCGAGGRGGAAAAATATGTCCTAAGTCAGGGCCACATGAAGAGCCTGGACATGATCTTTGTACACAGTATGATTTGATAATAACTATTTAGCCTGGATTGTCAAAACAATGCTGTATTACAGTAAACCAAAATAATACTTTCCACATGTGGTGCGGGTCATTAGCCTGCTGGCTTGTAAGGCACTCGAGGGCAGGGTTTTCCTTGTGTGCTTTCATACAGTGCTGAGGCTGCACGTGTGCCCTGCACATGTTAGCCAATTCATTCCATGCAATCCACGAGGTGCTCGCGGGAAATCCCTCTGGCCAAGAGCATTGCATCACCTCGGAAAGCACACCGCCCTGCCACCCGACTCCGCCTCTGGTGGTAGTGCCAGCATCCAAGGGCTGCCCTCCCATCCACAGCTCCTCTGCATCTCCTTCTGAAGTCATCCCTTTCTCTTCCATCTCTAGCCTTCGCAGACCACATCTGACCTGCGCCATGATGGACCAGCACAGTGGGTCTTGGTCCCACACTGGAGTTCTCTGTGCTCAGACCAATCTGCACATGATGCCTTCTCTTCTACATTTCAGTACTTTGGCATCTATCCCTTTGATGACTGTGGAGAGACTTTGAGAGGCAGGAAGTCCAACCCACTCACATAATTCACTTTAATATATATGCTATCGAACAAGGCCAAGGGTTGGGAGAAAAGTAATAAAAAACAAAGAACATTATAAACATTTATCATTCCCACTTCTTCCCATCCCCACCTTTGGTCACACCACCTTCCCTGGCTGAAGAGAGGATTACAAAGAGGTGAAACTTACAGGGTAGCAGCTCCCGGTCTGCTGTTTCTGTGCAGATTGGGTATGGATAGAATAGGTGCCCCTTCTCCAAGGGATAAGGGATCATCCGAAAAGCTGAAAAGAGGAGACAATATGTTAGTTTAATGTTTGTCTAATAACTTCCCAGCCTCAAAAAGGGAYGTTTGAGCATTTTTACAATGGGAAACACTCCTACAGGGAAGGCAAGACTTACCAAACTCTGAGTCATGTGCCAGATAAAATGTCAGAGATACACTATGATGTATTACTCACACATTAATCTTACACTATATATTCTGGGCAAACATCACAGAACAGGGTGGGGAGAGAGGTGCAGTGGGGGTAGGGAAGCCATCAATATCAATGCCTAGGGTCACATCATCTTTAAAATATTATAAAAATGTTATAAGCACTAATTCAATATAGCTCAGCCAATGKCAATAATGCAAACCTGGATTGAAATGCTTCCCCTAGAAGCAAATGTGGATTGACTTGTTGGAGCTTGTTACAGATGTACAAGTATGAAAGGCATTCTACCATGTCTATTTTAAAAATATGTCTAAGTGGATTAGAATTCCAACCAAGAGGGATAAAAACAAAAATCTAAAAATACATGACTTGGGAAGTATTTCTAAACTTTATGAAACTTTTAAATCTTCAATATCATGTGGGGAAAAATGTATTTGGAGAGATTGATTATCTGTATTTTGATGAAGTCAGGCCACCTAAATTCTGCTTTTGTGGCATCAGATGACATTAGGCCTCACACTGAATTATGGCTTTCCAATCAATCCATCCTTTCCCATTATCGAGTGTGTTATTTTCCCTGTTACAATGTCATCAGCATGTTAGTCTCACTGTTCCTATGAACAGTGCTCATGGAGGTAATTTTTCTTTAACAGATGTCCTTTAACTTCAGCACATGGTAGATGTATAACATAAAAGCTGTACCCTACTCTCGGGATGTCAGATAACAATCCTGGCCTTCATGTGTGTCAGAGAGGAATGGTGGCAATATAGCAATATTTTTTTTGTTTCAAATGCCACATTTTAAGGAATTGTAGTTGTAGCTACATCCTCAGCTGTGTAATTACTAAAGCCTTCTTAAAATGCTGTCAATGTACATATTTATCTTTTGCATACTTATTTCAAACAGGAATCAGAAACAAAGAATGTTCTCCCTCACAAGAAATGACAAGGTCCCATTGTAACCAGCATCAGTGCACATATGGTATTTATTCTGGTGTCTGAATATTATTTAAAAGTAAAAACATTATGTATGTGATTCCAGCATTTGGAATGCAGTCAATCTACACCACAGTGGTATCACTGTGAGGTTACAGAACATTGCCACGGAGAATATAAATCACTATAAATGTGGGATTAGAGCTGAGCCAGTTTGCTGGCAGTTTGCTGAGGTAAAAATGTTATCAATTTTCCTCTCATAACAGAAACCTCTTAAACAGAGATTAAAACATTAAAAACACCCCAGACTTTAACTCTTCGTAAAATGAAGGGCTCAGCCTCGTTCAATCAGAACTTTCCTTTCACACAAACAAAGATGACTTTTGCCCATTAGAACAAGCAAGAGAAGAGGTTCCTTGCACAGGTTGTTAATATAGAATCATCATTTGAAGGAACTGGCATCTCTCTCAATAGAACCAGGCTTTCAAGAAGATGAAAACAAACCAAAACAAAACCCAAAAAACGAAAAAACCTTTTAGTGACTTTTATAGCATAAGCTAAAAATCTCTTCTGGGAAGCACAGCTTTTACATTTAAACTATAGTACAGCAGGATCTTAATACCATTTCCCATAAATGATGGCTTCTCTGAAAGCATCCAAAAAATGTGGAAAAACCTACAAGGAAGTTTTTTAAAATCCAGATTCTCCATGTGTAACCAGGCTGCTATAATTAAAGAATCTGTTCAAGTTCATATGATATAAATAAACCCTTAGTTTTCAAGGTGGCTATAAATTTGAATGTTAAATTTTATTCAAAATTGAAGTCAGTTTGTACTTCAGGGAACAATTTTTTAAATGAAATATAGGAGCACAAGATCTTGAGAGTGTTCAACCRTAGAAATCTAATGGTTGGCTGGTGTCTTTCAGTCAAATGCTAAATGACTTTTTTTTTTCTCCAGTACTTGGTATGCATACAGAATTTTGTGCATTGATTTAGTCTTTATCTTCTTCTAATTGGTTCTCATCTTTTTTGGAGAGTGGAGGTATTGATTATATATATAATTCAAAGAATAATGAATATCCATCCATCCATCCATCCATCCATCCATCCATCCATCCATCCACATGGCCTGCATTATGCTTCTACTCCCATGATCATAAAGATGTTTATGGTGCTCTTAAGATCTCTTTCTTATGTCAGTTGTCATTTACATTGATTTCATAAAATAATATTAAGGCTTTTGGCTTCACTAAACAAAAGCAAATACAATTTGTGCTTGCAATTCTATCCTTTACCCACCCTGCTGTGCAGGGTCCAACAAAGTGTGAGATAAGCAAGGGAGGTCTGGAGAGAGCCAGGAAGAGGCACTGCATAAGCTCTGCCAGCCTCACCTCCCACTGCCTGGTCCTTTTCACAGTAAAGACATGCAACGGTTCCATGAGAGCCTCATGGCTTTAGCCAAAAGTGTAGAAACTTTGCAAGTGCAGGAATTAAGAACACAATGATTTGGTGGTGTAAATAAGAATGACAAAAGGTCATTTGAACAGATCTGTTCTATAAATGACTACAGACCTCCTAAAAATCTTTGAGAAAAGCCACACTTCAGAGAAAACTACAAATATGCATGTATTTGGTTTAAAACAAAACAAAAACATCAAGGCTGTTCCAAGTTGATACAGGGCATATGGATGTCACTTCTGCATTTTCCTTTGTGTGCCATCCTCTCCTCCTACGTTGATCTCAGTTAAAGGGTTCAAATGAAGCTGAGATTTAGTCAATGAACACGTACTATCCTCCACAATCAAGTCTGAGGCATAACACTRCTTTCTTCCATCCTTGACTAAACACATTTTCTAGGCTCTAAGCTTATCAGTGCTGTCCCAATCAGAGGTTGTCCACCAATATCAGTGAGGGAATCAATAGAACCAAAGAACGGACAGATGGATGGATATGTGAACAAATTAATGACCTCTCATCCTACCCATCATGTGGATGAGAATATAAGGTAATTTTTGAACGTTTGTATATGTTACCTTGTCAAAGAGGATCTCAGAGAATTTTATACAGATTATTTGGAATAGAGAAAACTGAGTTTGAGTCCCAGTTCTACCTCTTATAATTGGTCACTTATCAAAATGTGAGTGCCTTCTTATGTAACCTACACACAGAGAGCCAAGAACACCCTGTCCCTGCACTCACAGAGTTCACGCCTGAGTGCGGGGAACTTGTTCCAATAAACTTCCAAGTAAATGCTACAGTTCCCATTGTGCTGAGGGCCCTGAAGAGGGACAGGCTGTGTGGCGCRTGTCTACATGGGAGCAACAGAGTGACATCTACAGGAACAGGACCTGACTCCACCAAAAAGTGCATGGCTCTAGGTGGGTCATTAATTGTTTCCTGTCTGTCTGTTTAGCTGTAAAATGAAAACACCGCAGTCCTCACAAGTCTGGCAAATGAACTGAGGACAACAGCAGAGACGAGGTGGCTACAYAGTGCCTGGATGTGCAGCAAAGATGAGGCTTCTCTTTACCTTCCCTTCTCTACTAAACATAAAGTTTCTGTTTTCTGTGTTCAGTCACACTTGTTAATAAGTAAAGATTCTGCTTGTTTGTTGACAATTATATGTACAAATGGTAGAAGAGAAAATTATCATCATTGATGTTCTACTTTTGACTGCAATGCAAATAACAACCATGAAGGCCAACTGTTTTCATGAGGCATTTTGGTGCAGAAGTGAGGAAAAGTCAAAAGTCAAAAGCCTGATTTGTGATCCACAGTCTTTCACTTTAAAAGTGGAAGAAAACAGCCTTGGGAAAATAATTTTTCCTTAGTTGGATTTAATGGTGCTCCATCCTAATTTTGAAGAAAAATTCTATGGTTTGATAGTGGACTTGCTAATCTTGTTAGTACCCCTCAGCTCTTTAACCCTCTGTTCCTACTTTCATGTTAGTACTGCATGTATCCACACTATCTCACTCCCTCTCTCTCCCCCCCATACACACACACACACACACACACACACACACATACACACCCCCACACACACTTGTTTGTATGCACATGCACATGCATGTGTGTACATATGTTAGTGTTTCTCACAAAGCGTTTCAGAGTCTTTGTTGTCTTCCTATCCCCAAACACAATGCCTGACACATAAATGAAATAAATATTTGCTCAATAAGAAATGAATAAATAAATATACAATCAGGAAAATACCAAAGTCTCTTTAAAAGTTCAGGTGAAGCCAGGCACAGGAGAATTCACCTGCCTATAGTTCCACCTACTGGGGAGACTAAGGCATGAGGATTGCTTGAGCCCAGAAGTTGAGGGTCAGCCTAGGCAACAGGGAGATCCTATCTCTTAAGAAAAATAAAAAGCAAATAAACAACTCAGGTATCTGAATACATTCAGTTTTGGAGGCTGTCATGCTCACCGAGACAACCAGAAACCTCTTATTGTCAATATCCCTTATCCAATCAAGTTGACAATTCAGATTAACCATCACACTGACCAAAGGGAAGGAGCAAGCTGGCTGTGCTGGGCAGTGGGTGGGGAACTGGCTCAGGGTAAGCTAGCCATGACCATTCATTCTTCCTCCCAAATTATAAAGTGTACAATGGATCTATTATGCTCCTCTTGAATCTACTGGGGGACAGGGTGGGTCCTCTCTTTAGTAGTCCAAAAGGTGCCAGCCTTATGGAGGAAAGGTTTGCTTGGAGGAAATGCTTAAGAACCACATGTTACAGTGAGCGGTATTTGCCATTAGGTTCAAAGAGAATAAATTAGAATCACAATCTCATCCTATGCTTCAACAATGGGCCATTTTCCCCTCTCAAAGGAAATACCCTGCCTTAGTCCCCCTAAAAAACACCATCTTCAAATCTTATACATTATTTAGTGGATATTTAGTGGATTCTTGGTGGGGGGACTTCAAAAAGAAAATAATTGGTTAAGTGAAAAAAAAGAAAGAAACAAAGGCTAAGTGATTTACCCCATGGCATACTAGTCTTCTGATATATAGAATGAGAAAATTAAAGTTCACAGTTGTGGTCAGGARATGACCTGGCTTTGTAAAATAAATAGAGTCAAAATAGAGCCTTGAAAAGATGACAGTAGGAGGGAGATAAGAGCACATCAGTATTTAATACAGGTAAAGCAGAAGATGTGCCATTTAAAACAGGGCCCCATAAGGASCAATACCATTGTAAATAAGACTGAGTTGAAATGAGACCCTTCATTCATATATGTTTTTTATATTCAGCTCATACTGGCAGGGATGCGTGTGTTTGAGGATAACCAGAACCTAAAGTGTTTAAAATAAGCATAATTCAGATAAGGTGGCAGCTGTGTAATAATCCAAGAAACATTTTATAAAATCTTATAAATTAAAACTTTCCCCCTTTCTTAATTATCTTGACTTTGAGGAACATATTGTGTAATTTCAGGGGCTGGTACAGTGATGAATCAAACATTTTGGAAACCTTTGAAATGCTGATGTATTTGTGATTGAGGATTCAGGATTTTTTTTTTTCTTTAACTACCATATGTTTCAAACCCAAACAATCTCTGTTATACATTAGCAAGACTTTGGGGTTTTATCAAAAATAGGAGTTTTTTAGSTTGATTGATGGAAAACTCACTTAATTACACAGGATGACTAATGCTCTAACATAATAAATTCATTAACAAGCAAGAAACAAAACAACAAAAAAMCCCACCACTACCTCTTAACCAACACTTTTAACCGACTGACTTTTTAAAAATTTTCAAAGAATAATCTAATAATGATTTTTTAATGTTGAATCTGCTGAAATGAGACAGTATTATCCTTCTCCCTATATTCTCTTTCTAATGAAAAATGGAAGTTGGGTGAGAGTTGAGGAATGGCTTTGAATTTCAGAATGAAGAAAAATATGATTCAGAGGACAAAACCTAGCTGATGAGGCTGAGATGTCAAGAGGCACCACCAAGTGGTGCGCTGGGGGAAWTGCGCCTCTTGGGCTCAGGCTCAGGATGCAGGCCAGGCCTGCAGACCTCCTGAGAGGGAGCTGGGGCAAYTACTTTGAAGCCACCAAACTGGAGTGGGGTAGGCATTAAATGCCATCAGTGCTTTATGGTTTCCCAAACTTAGGTAAGTTAAGTAAATACTACTAAAGCAGCTGAGTCAGAATTCTAATCCAAGTCCTCTAATTTAAAATACAGAACTCTGAACCTCTAATGTAATTCAGAATGAACACAGATCTAGAAGTGAGGTCAAGAGATTGCAGACAATTGTCTGGAGCTTGAGTGGTAATTCTTTCTTCTAAACTGCATGGCAAAAATGCCACAGTGAGATATATTGATTTATACAATTATTTGTGTTAAGACTTWAAAAAAATTACTGATTACAAAAAAAAATTGCATGGCAGACCTATAGCTTTTTTTTTCATAGTAACCAAGAGCACTTGTAATGAAAGATTATATTTCTAAAACTATAAACATTATATTTCTAAGAATATATGTGTGTATGTATGTATATATGTATGTATGTATATATGTATGTATGTATATGCTTGTTGAAAATACATATGCTTGTTGTAGGCAATTTGAAAGGTACAAATATTAAGGGGAAAAAATCTTATCCACAACTCAGTAGTAACCACTTAAGACAGTTAAGTGTATTTATTTCCAGTCTCTTTCCTTTGTTTATACATATGTATTATTTATTTTATAAAATTTTGTCTCATTCTATATTGAAATGTTTAACTTAATATCAAACAAGAAAATATAATTTTATACAGAATGGTTAACTTTCTAAACACTAGAAAGGAACCAGCTGTCAGAAATATGCCCTAGCCTGTAAGTAGTGATRTAAATTTAAATTGTGGGCTTTCTAGCAACTATCTCAGAATTGGCTGATCTGTATCCTTAACCTATTCAATGCAATGAAGGAAAAGTGAACCTGGGTTTACCTACTGGCCCTACCAACAGGACTTCAAGACCTTCAACAAGTCCCTTTTTTTTTTTTTTTTTGGGTGATGCTGGGGATTGAACTCAGAGCCTTGTGCATGGGAGGCAAGCACTCTACCAAATGAGCTACATCCCCAGCCTCAAATCACTCATCTTAATGATTCTTCTGCTTCTGAGAAATTGAGGTTGACATTTCTGTCCTGCCTAACTTAGAAGACTATCAGGAAGGGTAGGTGAAATGATGCAAATGCAAATCCTCTATAAATCACCCAGTTATACAAATGCTGCTTCAGTGTACATCCTCTGAAGCATTTAGCACATGGTAGGCATTCTCATGGTTCTCATTCTGAAGTCAGATGTCCTGGAAATCTTTGAAAACTGGCAGTTAACTGACTTTGGGTGGGATCACAGCTACCTGATTTTCACAGGAACTTTTTATTGATAAAGATCAAAGGTCAAATTTCCTTTTCCTATAGGTATGGTTTTCTTGACATACAGCTTATGCCTACAAGTTCGCCCCCCTCTTTTTATCCTAATAAAGCATTCTGCCAGTCTAAATTGAGGCAATCACACCTCCCTGATAGTATTCCTCTGCTTGATTTTGCAGATCCCTATGTCTATTCACATTTCCCTATTCATATGTCACTATCATTCCCAGTTGATCCAGAGCACCTCCCCATCATTATTGGGTTACTAATTTACAAAGAGAATTTTCAGTTATTCCCCATAGGACTTTAATTTTTATGATGATATCATTCCTAATACCATATCTTTATCACAACTTGCCTCACCCCTCTTTGGGCTCTTTTTACAGGGTTAAATCTAATCAATCAGATCAAATGCCAATCTCTAAATATGTTCTTATTTGGTAGACCAATTTCTCTATCTTTTCCACAACTAACACTAGATAAGGCTTCTTGTATTCAAATCTGCTGAGCTTTTCAGGAGCTTTCTCATGTTTTGATAAAAAAAATTCTTTTGTCCTTTTTGGTTAGAACACCTTAAGTGCATTAAGGAGCCCAAGCCAGAGGGGATTGTGCATGTACCCACACACTCTTGGTGGAGTGTGCTGTTGTACATATCCAAATATGATTACTGATGCTGACAAGATTACCTGGGTATGTTATTACACTTACCAAGTAGGGGTGGCAACATTGGTAAACTCAACATCCATCAGGTTATAAATAGTAAAATACATAAGTGAACCCACTATTAATTCTCTAAAGAAATATGTCAAAACCACTAAATAAAAAACTTTCAATCTGCTTTGAATACCATCTCTCCAAAACTTATTTTTACTCAATCCCATTTTGCTCCCTGCTACCTCCCTTCCTGCATCAAGATGGATTCTAGCTGGGCTATGGAAGGGCAGGAAAAGGAAGAAGATTATCAAAATGAAAATGGAAGCAGAAAAGATAAACAGAGTGAAAAAGACACTTGTTTGTGAGGCAGATCAGTGCAGGGGTGAACTAGGGAAAAATTATCAGAAGATTCTAATATTTATCATTTTTGTTTTCCTATGAGAGAAAAAAATCATGGTACATGTTGTGCTTGTTTTGCTTAAATTAATATTAGCAGAATTTTAATGCACGTGTTGTCTAATAATCTTAGGGCTTTTCCTTAATTTACATTCTCCCAAACAGCTCCATTTATGACCATTTCTTCCCTTTGTGTCCTTGCTTACATTACTGTCCTGGTCCATCAAGGCTCAGTCCAAATCTCATCTGATTTATAAAGTTACCCAGGGCTGCTCCACCCTGGAGAAATCACCAGGCAGCTGCACCTGCTGCTGGTCATTCCTCCCAACTCAACTACGCACTTCTCCAGGACAAAGAGACTGTTTAACCTGCCAACAGAGCCTCCTCTCCTTACACAGAATGAATAATATCTGTAGGGAGCTTGTACTCAGACATATTCATTCCCCCATCAACATACCAGGAATATATCTATTATAATAATGCAACACTTCCCACCACACGCCAGAGTCCAGCAGCCTCTGCTCTTGTTCCAAAACATACCTGCCTTGCCCTTGCAGATGGCCAACCTAGCTATAGTGTRGAACTACTGTGGCTTTTATCCAGCTCTCCTAGAAAGACCATCAAGAAATAGTAATCAGTGTCTAGCACAAAGCCTAATTCCATGCTAAAGATTTTATGATAATAAGGACATGTCCAAGTCTCCTAAGAAAGTTTTTAGGATAGTAGACTGGTTCTCCAGAACAGTCCAGATCTATTCAATCTATTGTATAAATTTGCCTTCCAAGTCTTAGAGTTATGGCATTGTTTGATGACACATACCCACCACTACTAGAGAACTGGAGCACCTAAGTAATTAACTGTCTTAGTGATGGGCCTTCATAGAAAACAGAGCAAGACATGCAAATCCTCATTATTCATTAGGAACACTTGGGGCAAAAACAGTTTAAGCACTTTTTCATGTTCTTAAAAAATGTTTCGAAGAAAGAAAATTACTTACTGCCTTCCCACGTACAATGCAAAAGATTCAAAGCCCCTTCCACCCTCTTCCAGTGGGCGAGATGAAAGAATGCATATGCTATTGCTTCACTGTCTCCTCTCTTCAGGATATGTTCTGGGGGCAGGATTAGACTTTTCATTTCTAGTAGGTACTGAAATAAAAAAGTCAGGAGACAGATGTGTTAATACATAGTAATTTGGAATTCAATATTGAAATAGGTTGATTTCCCTAAAGCCACCATTTATAAGCATTTCATCAAACCTGCAATCTCATTACTACATTTGAAGGCAATTACTAAAACATCCAGCAATTCAAGGTTTGCTGACAGATGATTAGCCTTGTACTAGTTTCCTACAGTGAAGATCAGAGGCTTTCAGGCTAAGATACTCTAATCAAAGAAATAAATATAGACTCAAACAGTATAAAGGAAAATGTAGAAGACACAATAATTTGGTATAATTTTGTAACCAGAATGAAAATATATAAAATGGACACATGAAGGTCATGGAGTTGTATGACTCATCAACAGCTCTAGAGATTGGGATTGACTAGTACTGCCCATTATTATTATTTTTTTTCTGTACAGATATGCCAAAGAGAAGGACTCTGTTCTTTGAAAACAGCCRTCCATAGCTGCTCAGATACAGGAGAGAGGAAGGGTGGCGGCCTGAGGGAAAGGTGCAGTAGACCCTAGACTGCGATGTTCTTTCAGATCCTCTCCTAAAGACTATAGGGGTCTTAGCTCCTATTTACTACCAAGGAAGTGAGAAGGTAGGGAAAGAATGGGTATGAACTGGTATTCTGGCTGGCATTCACCTGGTGCTGCATTCTTCAGTATTTTCTTTCCCTGATCCAGCCCCAAAATATCATGGCATGAACCTATGATCACCTCAGACAACCACCACTAGGCTTTAAAAAGGAGATCAGCAGACCAAAGTGGAATCTGCTTAATTAACATGAGACAAATTCAACTAAAGGAAATGCCACAAAAGATATTCAAATTTTTTAATGTCAGAAACAATTGGATTTTTTCTTTTCTTTTCTTTTCTTTCTTTCTTTCTTTCTTTCTTTCTTTCTTTCTTTCTCTTTTTTGTCAATAGAAATTTATAAAAGAAGGATAGAGCAGAAGTGTAGAAGAGTCTTGATATGTGGAATGGGGATTATGATTCTACTATCAGCGTTTTGTTGTCAACTAGCTGGGGATTTACACCCTTCGGGCATCAGCCAGTTGCCTCTAAGCTTCCTCTCCTGTTGGCACATGTAGAGACAGCATGTATAGGCCAGCAGGAGCTGCAAGGACATATTTGGACTTCTTGGCCAGCAATGGAAACATTTAAAATCTCGATCTGATATTATGAGAAACCTCTAAGCCTCTGGCCTCAAAGGAGAAAGATGAGGAAAGTAGGAGAGAGCTACCCAGAAAGAAGCAAGAGAACAATAATATGACTGTCACCCCTAGCAGGTAGCTGGGATAGAAAGTCCTCCTAGACAGAAAGACCTCACTACAATGACTGCTTTCCAGGATGGTCCATGAGAGGAATTTATCATTTTGATGGCAACTCCTCATAGTATGTGTTCCAAAACCTTTGGGTCATTTTCCGTTTTTGACAAACCATTGCTTTCTTTCTGCATCTTGTTTTAAAATAGTACAGGACAAAAATCTTTTGGGAAATGTAATGGTAAGAGAGTTACCTAGCAGCAATCAAACTAGAACTGTATTTACAATGAATATCAATTACAATATAAATATAAATGGTAAAGTTTATGCTCAGAGATACCTGGCCATCTTCTTGTGATTTTGTTGCCTTAAAAGAAGCCATTATAATGTATATTGCTACTGTCAATGATGGTCTTAAAAGACTTCAAGGCTATGAGTCATGAGAAAGATATATAACTTGAAAGTACTATAAACTGTATTAACTGTTTGAGTAAGGTAGAGAAGGAAGATCACTTGGTTACCCTTAAAAACAGAAAAACACATGAGAAGGAAAATTTCTTGTCTAATGAGAGCACCAAATAACATTTTGATCTGTCTCTAATATTATTTTAATTATTTATAGCTGCCCTGCCTATCAAATAAAGAACCTTTAAAATAAGGATTATGCTRTATGAATTTTGAAACAAACCAAATATGAAAACAATTAGCTCAAGTGTCCCAAATGTACTGAAATCTCTTCAAGGCCCCTGAGAATCAGATGAGATTGACAGAAAAGGGGAGAGTATCATGCCTTTTATTGCTATGACAAGGAAAGTTAAAAAATTGTTTCATTAGGCATTTTTTCTCTTGGTCTAAAGAACTTTGAAAAACAGAGGCAACTTGAAAATGGGCCTGGTATTCAAACATATCTGTGGGTTGCAAACAAACTAAGAGGAGGTAGAACAGGGAAAACTTTATGGAGACAGGGTTCAGAAAATTACTGATGCTGGGAGACTCTAGATCTGCACTGTCTCTATTCTGTATGGTGGCTTCTATCATGTGTGGCCACTTAAATTTAAACTAAAATCACACAAAACTTTTAAAATTCAGTCTTCCATCTCACTAACCATATTTCATGTCTTTGTGGGCTGCAGTTGGTAAATGACCACTGTATTGGACAATAGGGATCATTTCCCCTATTACATAAAGTTCTTTTGGATAGCACTACTGTAGACATTGGTTCCCAATCTTCAAATAACTGAACCTATTTTTAACATGAACAAATTTTTACAGATTCCCATGATGGGACTTTGAGTGTAGCATCTACTAGTTGAAAAACACACAGTATGACAATAGCTACAATGAGGGTAACAAAACAAAAATCCATTTAAAAGCATTGCTGAGCACCAGAGCCTCTACAGACATTTGAAAAATAGTGGTGCACACGTGTACGAGACAGAGGGCTCTCTCAGCCGGCAGGCAGAGTGGGCTGCAGATGGCTTCAAGGACATTGTCCATACCCTGAACGCAAGCTGTGAGGTAATGTTTTGCTTCTCTAAGCTCTCTCTGATCTTTGATAAACATGCTTTTATACACCGCCTTATATTACGTCCTCCAAGTCTTTTTCTCGGCTGGATAAAGAACATGAACCTTGTCATCTTCATCTTAGTTTCTCCTACTGCACTTCCTAAAGTACCTTGCACATTGGGGAGTATATTCATATAAAAGGCAAATTAAATTGAAATCTTGCTTCCTAAGAATACTCTGAAAAGGAGCATCCCTGACCCTGCCAGCCCACGGAGGCCGACCAAAGCAACTCACCAAGGAAACTTAGCTCTGCTGTCTCATTTTATCTATTTTATGGCTGAAATAGGTTATGCCTATAAAGGAGATTTATACTCCTTTAGAGTTCCAAACAGAATGTTGGCCCTAACCAAAGGATGAAGGCTAATAACAACAATGTGTTATGTTTTTGGCCAAGCTTAAAATGGCTGGCAAGATCAGTTCTCAACATGTGCAACATTTAAATTAGAAAGGCATGGAACAACATTTCACATCCTACTTGTCAAGAGAAAAATAAATGGAAGAGGGCAGATCCCTATCCACAAGTATGCAGAAATCAATTAGAATAACTGTAGCACACAAATCAGAGAACACGCTTTGCCTGTCTGCATTCACGACTTGGCTTCTACTAGCTAAGTGGCATTCTACGCTATTCTGCCGGCAGCCTGCCTCCAACTTCCTTCCCAAATTCTCAATCACGCTGACTGAAGTACAGTGCTTCTAAAGATTTCGGAAGCAACTTTTCAAAATCTATTTGTGTCAGAATCTAGTTCCTTATGCCTAMTACAAGAGCATATAAAGCAGGATATTCACGGAAGAGCAGAGGCTTTGGTCTTACAGTTGGAACAGCGACTGCTCACTTGTGAGGAAAGCTGTAGAAGAGATGTGGCCCATCAGAGCCTACCCCAGGTAACAGTTAAGGTGTCTTTTGTTAAGGTCTCAAAATTGTAAAATAGTTTGAGTGAAAATGATTCAAAAATTATTCTTCTCAGAGATATTAATGTCCAGGAATTAATTTATGATTTCCAATGCCAATAATAGCACAAGTCATATGAAAATCATCAGCAATAATACAGCAAACAAAATGTGGAAGATCAGGAAAATTAAATTATAGCACATTTAGATGATGGCTATCAAGTTACTCACAAAACCCAGTGGTGGAAAAATATTTGTTAACATAGAAAATGTTCATTATACACTGCTAAAGGAAAAAAAAATCAGTGTACTATAAAAAATATAGCAGGTTATTATTTTTGACAATAAAAATGTGTATTGGAAGGCCACAGATCAAAAGTTAATGGTGGCTAAATATTCGATTTTAGGGAAGATTAATTTCTTTTGTGTTCTTTCTGTGCTTACTAAGTTTTCTATAACAAGCACTACTATTTTTTCCTCTATGTGTACATGTATATAGGTGTGTATGTATTTTTATGATACAAACCTATTTTCTAGACTTGCATCAAAAACACAAAAATTAAACCATACAACCAACAAAAAAGATAACCAGACATAGTAATTTTTTGCATGTCAACAACTTGCTTTAACAAAAGATTCTAAATCCAAAAAAACACATTTTTAAAAACATCAGTAAAGAGTTCAGAGAAGAAAACTAGTGCCATTTGGAAGACAGGCTATATATTCTCAACTTCAATGTTTACCTACTCCAAAGGCTTAATAAAATGCACAAGTGGAATAAAATAAAAATATCACAAGTAACTGTGGCTCACTCAGCTCATGCTGTGATGGAGTATGAGGTGTATGTCACAGAGGTCCCAGCCTCCTCACATCTGCCATATTCCACTGGAACTGCTGTCTGGAATCCTGCTCTATCACATAGCTGTAAGACCCTAGACATGCTACTTAATTTCTTGGCACCTCTGTTTGTTCTTCTGTAAAAATGTGGTAACAAAAACAAACATCTTGTTGGTTCTGATTTTGAAGATTATGTAATATATGTAAAAATGTTAAAAAGTACCTGTACTTATGTATTTATGTATTCACTGAATGGTGGCTATTTTTGCTGACATATATACATACATACATACATACATACATACATACATAGAAAAAGAGAACAAAGAAATGCTCATATTATTATTGTAGAGGTGAGTTGTGTTTTTTTCATGTAGGTGCCCCAAAGATAATTGAGTCTTATTTCTACATAAAACACA